AGAAAGTAGAATTGATAAAAAAAAAAATAGTGAAAATGGTCAGACTGATAAATGCCTGTGATTTATAAAGTAACATATGATGCATGTCAACAATTTTACTTGGGGATTGAAATTTGGAAACCATTATATTACCCCAAATTGTTTAAGCCTAGTTTTTGTGATCTGATACATTCAGACTGGCTTGCAGAATATAATGACGCCACAACTTGCAAAGGGGAGTCAGGTGTACTCATGCTTTATCAAAACATGAAAGATATCAGCATTTTGCCAAAAGATTTGCTGCTGTGAGGGTTAGTGCAAAGACCAAGGAGCCAAAGGCATGAGCACGCATGTAATCATATTATAATTGCAACATTCCCTTCTTTTACTTGTTGGATTGAACAGGTTTTGATTTCAAGTAAAATATTTTGGTTACTCGAGAAGAATCCAAAGATGGAATATAATCCAAAGTGGCAAACATAAAACTGTACCTCATCAACACACAGCTTCGAGGGTTCCTTTGCCAGCTCCAGGACACCTTTTATTAAGGACCTCAACCCCTTCTCTGGAGATATAAGATAAGGTTGATAACCATCTGCTTCTAGGACAATCTGATATCAAGGAAACATACTTCAAGAGAACTTCAAAACATTTCTAATAAGAAAGAAATACAACATAAAGTTAGAAGAGAAGAAATACCCTTTTAACATTGTTTATGTCAAAATGCCTATCTAAAGGTAGCTGCTTGATCCTGTTTGGAAAATTACCCTCAAAACTCGCAACAACTTTCCAACCATTACCCTGTAAATAAGCTGGGTTAAAGAAACTATAGTGATTGTACAACAGAACATGGTTTTCAAACCTTAACAACAAAGATAATAAATGTAAGTCAAATCCCAGTCATGATCCTTAAACTTTAAGAAATGTGAGACAATTAACTGCAGGCACAATCATACTCTTGCACTGTAAATAGAAGTTATATATATATATATATATACATACATACATATATAAATATAAGTACAGTGAAACTATGCAGTATTGAATTATTCTGGGCTCATAAGGACATCATAACTCAAGCACGCATATCCTAAACTAAATTTATAAACTTTCATTTCTTGAAAGTCCCTATTCACATTCAATTTCCACACAAGTTCAAATTCTTTGAACATGAGCCCTGGAGGTTCAGTGACATTCATCAGGCTGCAAGCACCATGTTAACAACTAATCCTGTGAATTTAAGGCATTTCCTTTTAGCTTTGAGGAATGTCTGACATTTTAAGATTTTCTAATTTTCTGGCACATAATATAGATCCATAATGTTAAATAGTTGCGTAAAAGTTTCAAATAGTATCTACAAGAGAAAAAGCAAGTCTACATGGTGAAAGATGAAAGCAAACCATATTAATATAACAGAAGTTCAGAGGCCATTTTTTCTTTTCATATAAGCTATAACCATCCTGACATGGGAAACATCTGTAGTGTGCTGTCACTAGTCTCTCTTCCAGTTATAATAAAAATGATGCATAAGATGCTTCAAAAAGAAACTACTCACTTCACCACCAATAAGATGCAGGAGAAATTTGTCTTCAAACTCACGGCAGAGCTCCAAAGCTAAAGCTCTTGTACCTTCAGAGCTACTAACCATTTGCTCGCCAAGCCTCACCATTTCATCTTGAACTATTTGAGATTTCCCCTGAAGCCTAAAGTTTTATCAAAGCATATAAACAGCATTAAAGGTTTAATGGACACAAAGCATCATAATACAGGAGAATCCCAGACCTAATCTAGCAATTGTTTGACGGAGTGACAGTTGATAATAATTTTCTAATTCTAGTCTTAAAGAGGGAAAATGCCAGAGAGAAGGAAGCAATATCAAGACAGCAGATGATATTTACAACAGTTTTGGAAAAAAATAAAGACAGATAAGTTAACAGAAACAAAGATCAAGCAGCAGCAGGAGGACAAGGAGGAGAAAAGGAGCAATACCCAGAAAGGAGACTGGGAACCCTGAGTCTCATGCGACTACGAATCTGACCAGCAAGGACATCCACCAGAGCAACTCTCCCAAGCTTGCTTTGAGGGGCTCCAGTCAATATAGATTTTAGACTTTCACTTTCAGCTCGCCATGCAGTTTCCAAAGAGCTCTCAGATGAAGCACTTCCAGATTGCACTGAAGCTATGGAAACAGATTGACCGATCAATGCAACCCATGGAATGTCAGATGTTTTTGGTGGTCCCTGATTCAAAAGAAGAGCTTGAACAGCAGCAATAGCTTTTGAATCTGTAGCTGCTTGATCAATTTTACTAATAATGCCAACTGTTCTGGTACCTATAATGCAACACAAATCATACTTAAAAGCTCAAATAAAAAGTTTTCAAAGTTTCAAAATTATAGATCTTTTTGACAAAAAGATAGGATGCAAGTTAACATTGACTCACTCTCTGCATCATATTCCTTTGCAATTCTGAGGGCTCTAGAGGAAGAAATTTCTGGAGCCTGAATAGCAGGTATTACAACTAGCAGAATAGCATCATTGTGCTGAACATATTCACTGATCTGGCAGAGCAAAAAAAAATGCCATTAAAAGAGCTTCCAATTACACTGACTTAGAAACGGGGGGAAAAATAAAAAAAGACTTTCCAAACTACAGCAATTTTTATTTAATAAGCACCAAGAGGTACAACCCATACAAAAACAGAGCATCAAGGGTAGCCACCCACATAAACAATAACAATATTAGTTATAGAAAGAGCCCAGTCACAAAAGAGAAAATCTGAATCATATACAGCAGGAAGAGCACCAAAACATTGAATGACCTTTGAAGTACAGCACCTGATACACAGAAACAATCAGCTTGCTGATTTTCTCAGAGAATAGTATTTTCCAGTTAGGCTCTAGGCCTCTAGCAAAAAACAAAAGAATCGCACATGTACCATCTGCAAAAACTTGAAAACCAAAAATGAAATAACACCACTCACCATCGAGTCATCTACGATTCTTTGGTCCACCCCAGGCAAGTCAATCAATTTCAATGGAGGAGCTGAACATATCAGAGGAAAGAAATTAATTAAAACTGATGCAGGGAAAGTACATGAATTGGTGAATGTTGTCTTGGTGTCTTTGCATGAATAATCTGCACTAAGACCTCATTAATTTGACACTGTCCATGTAACTCGATAATCATAGGGAAATGCCATAAATGATCTGCATTGCACCAATTTACTATTATTTTCCACATAGTCTTTACAGACAGTCTTTAAGTGAGGAACAAACCTGTACTGGTACGAAGTTTCAGATATATTTCATCACGACTCCTGCCGGAGGAAACCTTGCTAAGCCTTTCCTGTAGAGAATGCCGAAGAGCACCTATGACGTACCAAATTAGAGAAACCAACAAGAATCAGAGATATTAAATTGAAAATTCACGATAAACAGATGCCACATTGGCAAACAAAATGCAATTGAAAATTTAGTAAGAGAACTTACTCGCAGAAACCTGTTGATTTTTGCTGTCAATCTGTAAAATAATTGATTTACTGCTTACGGAACTATCCCTACTTAAATCTATGCTAATCGGAGCCCGAGTGGCTCCATTTTCACCGGTGGGCTGCCAAAATCATAAGAAAAAACTGTCGTCAGCGGGAAAAATAGCATCAAATCAACAACAGTGCAAGTGAAATACAAGCTTACCAAAACAGGATGTCCGATTAAACTATTCAAAACAGCAGATTTACCCGCACCCTGTTCAAAACGAGAAAGCTCGTCAAAAATTTCGGATATTCAAGCATTCATCTCCTTTCTTTCTTTCCTTTTGTTTTAATCCAGACGGAAAAAGAGAAGACAACCTTATCTGGCATTTTTCAACAGTTTCTATATTTGAATCCAAACACAGCCTTAATTGCAAAGAAACCTATAAACAGATCCAACGATCTAGCATGCATTTATTACTTGAGAGAGAGGAACTTACCACATTGCCGAGAGCGACGACATTGAGGAAAGTAGAAGAGCGTCTGGAAGAAGGAGAGGACGACGAAGTGGTTTCATCAACGTCTTCGTCGGCAAGCAAAGCAGATGCTTGCCTCATGGATTCCGAAAGCCGAGTCAATTCTTCGATCGCCTCCATAACTGATTAAAATGACGATGTTAGTATTCAGACCTCTATGTATGCGAAGATTTGCAGATCTCAGAAGGAAGGAGAGGAGAGGAAAGGAACCCTGAGATTGGATCTGGGTGGGTAGAGAGGAGATTTGATTCAAAAAATTGGGGATGCAGCTCTCTTTTAATTATTACAAATTTGTTGCCTCTTTTTTTTTTTTTTTTCTCTTATAAACAAGCCAACCCAACAAAATGCATGTGTCGCTGGACGGGATTTTTATTTTCTTGCAGAATGGTCCTCTAAGTTTCTGTTTTCATTTTTAGGGACTAAAAGTGATTGTTATTAGGGGCACAATTGTAAAATCTAGACCGATCGGGGGTGGGAATGAAGCTTGTGTCAGTCAATTCAGGTTGGATAAAAAAATAGTTACCCAGTTAAAAACTTTAACCGACTCCGTTGGCATTTTTTAATATTAAAACAATGCTATTTAGATATATATATATATATATATATTGTTAACCACACGCATGTATAGCTTACACGTTGAAAAAAGAGATATTACCTTGAGAATGCACATAAATTTTATTCTTAAAAATCAAAGACCAGTATACAATTTATTTGAAGGCACCTGATTAAATAAATTTGTTCAATATTAGGAATAAAATTAAAACTTTTAAGAGTTCATGGACTAAAATGTAATGTTATTCAAAACCCAGGGGGGCTATATCCCTTCAAAGATCAGCCAGTCCACGTGACTTAACAGCATTAATCATCCCCTCTATCTTTCGTTTCTGCAGATCGCTATCAGTTTTCTTTGGCCTGCTAATATTAGAGTTCAGCAACCCTTAGGGTTCTCTGTACATTGCTGATCTTACTGTGGAGTGATGAACTTAACCAGCTTTAACACAAATTAGGCCTTTCTGGGCTTCAAAATATCGCATAAAATCTTATTCCGGGAGAAACAGTTTTCATTTTACTGCTTTCATAGTTACATTATAGTAAAATCTGAGCCCCGATGAATCCTTTGTAACCTACTTTGTTTCTTCCCTTGTTTGACAATGGCAAGGGGGAGCTAACAGCTCCATAAGAACGAGTCCTTTGGGGCAGCAAGGATTACATAGCTTGCTCACCTACTTGTGAGTTTTAATATATGGGTAAAGCCCCAGTATATGATCCGGTGTGAAGTCATGCCGAGTCAGGATTCCGACAATAGGAGGCCTCTGCAAAATAGAGAAATTTGAGGAAATCTCTGCATGAGTATTCACATGGATTCTAAAGCTAAGTGTTCATATGCATATTATTAACACATGAATAACAATGGGAGAGTCATACCCCTGGTGTCTTCGGCACCACACACAAGTGTCTCAGGCCAAGTTCGCGAAAGAGAACAGCAGCTTTAGCTAGAGACATTGTTTCAACCACGGTGTATGGAGATGTGTTAGTAATGGGATGGAGATCAACGTACATCTCCATCTCCTCCTCTGTGATCTCCAAATCCTCCAGCTTCACCCCCTTGCCTGATCCAGCCTTTGCAAAGTCATGTGCCTTGAAACTCTTCATGATTCCTGATCCCGTCTTTACTCTCTGCTTTGTAAACTTCTTTCCTCTTAGCAACACAAGCAGATGAGACCTCAAGACAAGTCCACACAATTCTGGAGCATCTGAACAAGGCGGCTCATCAATCACAGGGAATCCATTATGCCCTGTTACTTTCAAAGCATGCAACAGGTTCCCTACTTTTTCAATCCCAGAGAATGAAACTAATGGACCAGAAACAACATCACTTGCAACAAGATGTCTCATGTATGGTTCTGCATGGGCTTCCATGTACGGAAATCCTTTCATTTTCACCATTTGATCATAAATACCCTCGTTGAAACTATCAGCCACTGTTTTTGAAATGAGGAGCACTAGCATCATTAGCGGAAGCATAAGCAGATCATTAGTAAGTTCAAGAAGTATGACACAGAGAGAAACTGTCATTCTCATGGTGCCACCAAGGAAGGAGGCAGCTCCAAGGAGGGCACAGAGACCCGCATCAAGATTAGACAGAGGGCCAAGCATTGTTCCAATAAGACGCCCATAAGAGGCCCCAGCAAGAATGACGGGGATGAAGAGCCCAGCGGGAACAGCAATGCCATAAGTAACAATGCCAAGGCAATAAATAGCAAAGAAGAAAACCATAAGGGTGGAGAGGTGAAATTCCTTTTCACTACCGGAAGTGAATAGGTTGCGGATGGCATCATCATTGGTGTTGAAAACGAGGGAAGCGAGGTCGTTGTAGTGGTTTGGTGGACACTGGAAATTCTTGAAGTTGCCAGAGCGACCTTCAGTTGGGCATTTCTCGGCCAGGTGAGGGGGACAGGGAATGCACTTCGAAAGCCATGGGAGACCATAGGAGCAGCAAGAGGTCAATAGAGAAATGACAATAACAAGCAGGATCTTAAACGAAGGACCCCTCCTGTAATTTGTTCAAATCATCAGTATCAACAAAAATATTGCCGGTCATTCACTAATTCCAGCATTTCAAACAACTGGGAAACTAAATTAACAACTCTGCACGACAGAAAACTATCCTGTACCAATAAGCAATATTCAAATGCGTTCAAAAAAGTTGGAAAGATGAAGTCAAACAGTCAGTGGCTGAGGGAAAATGTTCTACAATGGAAAATTGCTGGGTCAGTCCCTTCTGAAAATGTACACACACACACACTCTCTTTTCCAAAGTTATGTTTTAATTGCTCAGTATGATGATAAATATAAAGCATGACTATTCATGAGAAAAATGCCGATGAACATTAACAGTAAAATACTTATTGATACAAAGAGACTTTTCAGGGCATACTCATTGATGAGGCTGTACGTGCGAAGAACCTTGTCGACACAGTAGTTGTAAAGGCTTCCAAAAACACCTCCTATCACCCCGAGGAACACAACTGCTAGTAGATCTGGGGTGCTGTAAAAGGCTTTTCCAGAATTTACATCAAACATGATCAGACCTCCTTCTCCAAATAGCCCACATTTTCCAGATCGGCAAAAATCTATGAGACCTCTCAATACGACTGCTACTACAGCTGTCGTAAAGAAGGTCCTCCAAAGAAGGGCACTTCTCCACCTGAACAATATGGGAAAATGATATATTTCACCCAGTTGTAGAAGAAGGAAGAAAAGAACACTTTTGTAGAAATGGGGAGGAGAGGATGGTAACAGAACAGGGAGTTACCAGGAAGCAGCTTCTTCAAGGGCAAATAAGACCCCGCCAACAGGAGCACGGAAGGCAGCTGCTACACCAGCAGCAGAACCACATGTAACCAAATCTCGCCGGTCTCGATCATTTTTGAAGTATCTCAACCATTTCCATGTCAAATGATACTTGCGAGAACCACCCTGTCCAAGTAAGGAGGCTATGCAAGCACCAGTATGTACCATGGGTCCTTCTTTACCAACAACAAATCCAGCAGCAACTCCAAATATGGACCCGAAAATCTGAGAGGTTCAAATTAAATATAAAAACTTCAGTACATCAAATTTCCTGA